AACGTCATTGGAGTTGTTAGAATTGTGATGAAAGGATAGCAAAGAAGTGGTATGAGCAGAACCTTACCCATCATGCAATTGAACGTCATTGGAGTTGTTAGAATTGTAATGAAAGGATAGCAGATTTTAAATACAAATTATTGAATCTTCAATTTCAGGAGATCAATACTGCTACTCATTACATACTTACCCATGTCATACTGTTTAAATTTGACTGTAATAAATAAAATTGAGTGACACTGACCTGTGTGAACATTCTCTTTGGTGTTGGATACAATGGATTTCCTCCATACGGAAATCCATATGGTGTTGCCACGGTAATCCCCAACATTGTCAAAAACATTATCGACAATACAAGATATGTTCCTTCCAAACGACGCAGTACATAAACAAGACTCATCTGAAAACAAAGCATTTAAAAAGTGATTAGCACATTTAGTATAATGTCCAGTTATATAAAAAGTTACTTTAACTACAGAGGCTCTGCGAATGTAATATGTTTGGTAGTTATGTACAGGGAGTACTTCAGCTAAAATGCCACATTGTTATTTACACTTATGATGCCAAGTATTTTGTTTGAAGTTCATGAACAAAGCACACCAGCTGATGAAGCTTTGCAGACAATATGCAAATCTGCTAAAAAGCATAATGTTACATACAATATCCAAGATACACACGAGTTATAATTGTAAAAACATTTAATTTTCCCAGGTTTTTAATTTCACATTTTTGATACTTTGAGCATACTCACTGGGTTTTTTAAGGTCACAATTTGCCAGTGAAACAATGAGTTCTATTGTTATTTATTTATTCACATTACGCAGATTTAATTTATCAGTGAAAATAGTAAATTCAAAATGTCATAACTCTTTCTACCAAAATTAGTGCATTTTACTTATTTTCATGTATTCTTTTTTGATAATTTTGAACTAAATGGGCTACAAAGTTAGGTAATATTGTAATATTGGCAGCAAGTGATACAAAGTTAGGTAATGTAACATTGGCAGCATGTGTTACTAAGTGAAGTAATATTGCAACACTTTCAGCAAGTGATACAAAGTTAGGTAATATTGTAACATTGGCAGCGAGTGTTATAAAGGTAGGTAATATTGCAACACTTGCAGTAAGTGTTACAAAGTTAGGTAATATTGTAATATTGGCAGCAAGTGATACAAAGTAAGGTAATATTGTAACATTGGCAGCTAGTGTTACAAAGTTAGGTAATATTTTAACACTTGCAGTAAGTGTTATAGGTAATATTGTAACATTGGCAGCAAGTGTTACAAAGTTAGGTAATATTGTAACACTTGCAGTAAGTGTTACAAAGGTAGGTAATATTGTAACACTGGCAGCAAGAGTTGCAAAGTTAGGTAATATTGTAACATTGGCAGCAAGAGTTACATAGTTAGGTAATATTGTAACACTTGCAGCAAGAGTTACATAGTTAGGTAATATTGTAACACTTGCAGCAAGTGTTATAAAGTTAGGTAATATTGTAACACTTGCAGTAAGTGTTACAAAGGTAGGTAATATTGTAACATTGGCAGCAAGTGATACAAAGTTGGTAATATTGTAACACTTGCAGTAAGTGTTACAAAGTTAGGTAATATTGTAACATTGGCAGCAAGAGTTACAAAGTTAGGTAATATTTTAACACTTGCAGTAAGTGTTACAAAGTTAGGTAATAATGTAACATTGGCAGCAAGTGTTATAAAGTTAAGTAATATTGTAACACTTGCAGTAAGTGTTACAAAGGTAGGTAATAATGTAACATTGGCAGCAAGTGTTACAAAGTTAGGTAATATTGTAACACTTGCAGTAAGTGTTACAAAGTTAGGTAATATTGTAACACTTTCAGTAAGTGTTACAAAGTTAGGTAATATTGTAACACTTGCAGTAAGTGTTACAAAGTTAGGTAATATTGTAACACTTGCAGTAAGTGTTACAAAGTTAGGTAATATTGTAACACTTGCAGTAAGTGATACCAAGTTGAGTAATATTATTGCATTTAACAAGTGATACAAAGTTAGGTTAGCAGGAATAATATTCTAATATTGGCAGTAAGTGGTACAAAGTTATCAAAGGAACATTGGATAGTAGTGAAGCAATAAATTACAAATTATAGTGATATTGACAGTTGTGTTACAGTGTTAGACAGCAATGACAGAGCCATGCTTAGAAAGATCTGCATTATTGTTGTACCTGTTACTTTGCATCCAGTCTGTGATAATTGGTTTGTATTTGCTTCATCAATTAATTTGCTGGAAAAGATGCAATTGATGATGCTTTCAAGCTTGACATTTATATTACCGTTGATAATGTGACTTGTGCATTTATTTCAGTATCGACACTTATGACCCTTTGTTTTCATTAACGTTTATAAGTAAACCATGGACACTTTTCTTATTTGCATTTACTCTTTCGTTTGATTTGTCAATCATAGTGTTGTTGATCATAATTTTATTTATATAAATCATTTGCCTTGAATAGAGACAGTCACACTTAATACACAGCGTTTCATCCTCTCAAGTAACAATAAATTGTAAAAATTCTTTGCAGCAAAATGATTTAAATGGTTAAGGCACAAAAGATTTTAGCCAATAAAGTTGTTTATAATATTGCGACAATTCCATTTTTAGAACTTTAAAGATATTATATACATTATCAATGCCTGAAACGATTTGATAGTGTGATGAAATAATAATGAGTGAAAAATGACATATACTTGGCTATGTATCATACTTCAGATATTTACTAGTTCTTGTGCAGTGTGTGTTTGAAATTCATGAAATAAAACAAATGTATTTTACATGTGCTGTATACATCGCTCTGGAAACCACATCAAATGCAACACTGTAGCAGTGACTGTAGCGAATTAAAAAAGCAGAATTTAACGCAGAAACAAATCATGATATTTTGTTGAAAAAATTATTTTTTTAAAAGCTGATGCCATTTGCATATAATTTAACTTCATATATATATATGTGATATAAATATTGAATATTTGCAGCAACAACAACAATGACAGACAGTAAAGTTTGCAAGATATGATATCAACAATGAAAAAACTACCATTTACCAACAAAGTGAAATGAAAGAATCAATGATTGTTATCAAACTTGAAAACAATCATGAAAATCAAGTTTCAATTGTCCCAATAAATATCATCATTGTATAGGAACCTACCAGGTAGGAAGTACACGAGACAACAGCAAACGTTAATAACGCAGCAATCAACAAATCAGGTTTCACAACTGAACCAATTCTTCCAGTTATTGGTAGGACCAACAAAAATAACATCCAGATAATGTACATACTCATAAGTGTGGGGATTACCAATGATACAGTATGAGAGCCAAAGAAAAGTCGAGGCGGCATAGCTGTAAATAAATTATGGACTGTGAGTGAATGGAAACTAGTTGCTAATATTTTGGCATAATTTAATTTTTTTTTTAAATTCTTTGTTAGCACCCTGATATGAAATTCAATATTTTTGTTTTATAACTAGTCATTATTAGCAAAATTGTTGTTGCATCAGACTCATGATTGATGGGGCTCAAATGCTACTTTTGGTTATGTGAGTGGAAGGCTATTTCGAATGGCCGTTTTGCTTTCACTGATACGACTTTGGGGAAATTGCAGGTGGTTATGTTTGACCAGAACTCGTAGTCCTAAACATGCAATAAAGTTTAACTGTGGCAAAATGCATTACATGTCAGCACTTGCACATAAAAAAAAATGTCAGGACATTCCACATGTCTGACATGAAAAGGAGCAATGGGCAGAAGTAAAATAATTAATGCCAGTCTACTTATGACCACACGCTTGAGTTTTTTCTTCTTTATCAACCCCTGTAGGCAATGAAAATTTATAGATTCTTTGACAATTAGTTACTACAAGTAACTAAAACCATGCTTATAAAATTTATTCCACTTATTTTCAATTGCAGTGATTGTCATTTGTCACAATTCTTTTTGAAAGAGTATTGTATTATTTTTGGAAAGGTGTATTTTAGCCCAGTTTGCAATTATTATACTCATTATAAATCACTTTGTCTAACGAGGACTAACAATTAAAAAATCCCAATTTTTTGCAGGAATAATTCTATCGGTAATATTAAGGTACATGTACTTGTTATATCTCAGCATGTTCATATGGTCCAGTTATTTTACATAGCAATATCTGGTAAATTTTTGTAAATAATAATCTTAAACAGTTCTCATTATAATTACCATTTAAATGGTCTGAAAAAAACAGTGACGTCAATCGTCTAAACACAACGGGAAAGGCCACCCACATCAGCAAGATATAAGAAGACATTGAATGCTTGGCAGTAGCGACTGCTAGAAAACTCATCCACAATAGAAGCGTTGCATCAAAATAGATTGACTCCACCTCCCATAGATTTGTAAATCTCTAGATGAAAACAAAAATTAGAATATATGGTAGATTACATGCAAATCAGCCATTTGAGGATAAGTAATGTAATTAATATAGATCAATATTTTAATCGATAGATTGATCACAACATGCAATGAATATTTCACAGCACTATTACGACAGGAACACGCATAAATTGTACCCAAATCAGAGGTCAGTGATTTAATGACCTAATTTGCATATAATCAATATTAATTAATAAATCCTCCAACAAAGAGCAGAAATTGTTAAGACCTTATGTCCTTATATAATTAACTATCCACTTTATTTTACAAAAAGTGATGGTTTGCTTGTAGTGGATTTTATAGCAATTTAACTTTTTCATGCCCAGTCGAATTTTTTTGCACTTTTTTCTTATATTTTTATATTTCTGGAAATGAACCCTAATTTTGACCCAACAGACAAAATTTGAGTAAATTTTCAGTTTTTATTCAAAAAATTTTGCTATTTATTCCCAATCTTCTGAAGGAAAGTGCAGAGTATAAACAGGACTCTTTTTGTGAATTTTTGATGAAAAGAAGGAACAGATGATGAAAAGGTTAAATGAGGAATAGAGGGAAACTATTAACAATCTATCGGTATGCAAATTAGTTTATATCTGTGTTTCAGTCACATCCTCAAATGTACTGATCAAGAGCCCAGTGAAATAAACTAGTGAGATTTTAGTCTCATTTTGCAAAATTTTTGAAGAAAAAAAAAAGCGACATTATGACATACAATCATATTAGTTCAACTGAACACAATAAAAAAAAGATCATCGAATTTTCACCTGATTATATGAACAACCCTTCTCACCTTTTTGTAAAAATAATGTTTGGCAATGATATGAACAGAAATTAAAGTTAACAAGGCTGGGCATCCGTATACACCAAATATAAGGGAATTAGATGTGAACCAGAACATCCCATAACCAGCCATACTCAGTAGATAGCCAATTGTTATGGTAACTAAGAAGGATAAACACCAGCTGAATGATATTATACCAACAGCCAGTAAAAGATGAAAGAGGTAAGACAATCCTACTGGACCTGGGAAGAAAAAAACAAACAAAAACAAAATGATGAGAGATAGGTATATGGCTAAAAGAAAAGAAATCCCAAATTATTTTACAATTACGTAAATAAAAGGTATTTCACCCATGTCATCTTCAATGTTGTTGTTCAACATGATTCATGATTCTTCAAAAGTATTATGTGTACATGGAACATTTTAGACTGGAGCTGGACCTTTTGAAGTAACATGAAAGACTTCTAATATTAACGTTGTAGATTAAACTAAGTATTTGAGAATTTAAAGTTGGGAATAATATTGCTAATACTGACAAAATAAGCAATTTCTTAGCCCAAGTACATCATGTCAATGAAAAAAAGCCAAAGAAAACAAGGAATAAATATGTACTCAATAAATATTAAGTCATCAAGTCCTGATAGCATCCACTGGAAATTTCTCAAAGAAATAGCTAATGCTATAAGAACTACAAGTCTAAAAATTTTCAGTACATGATGCAGCAAAGCTTAAACTTCAAGGGGAAAACAGTTTTCATTTATAAAATATCTATATAGAAATAACATAAAAAGGCAGTAAACCATTTTAACCACTCAAAATTTTCCGAATTGAAGGAATTTATGGCATCTGTATCTGTAAAAACAATTTTTGCAAAAGTCAATGACCATCTGTGACCACAGGCAAATTTTTTCATTCCTAATTTGTATGATATTCACTGATTTACGAAGTTTGTTTTTCGTAAATTTAAAGCCGGTTACAGTATTGAAAAGCACTGACATACAATCATTAGATATCAAGACAATTGCTTTTGATGAAAATGAAGTTCAAGCCCTGTTGCAATTCCCTCAGCTTGGGAGAAGTTTTAAATTATAGAATCTGTTCGTATAACTTCTCTTTTCAATGACCTCACGATCAAAATATGAGATGATGATGAAATAATAGGTGTTTGCTAGGCTATTGTTCCTACCATGTTCTTGCCATATCAAAACCATTGTAGTTTATATGGTTGTTGTCATGGCAATTACAATTTTTATCATCTATCATCATGGTATCTATACCAAGTATCAAAGTAATTGAGAAAAACTAAAAAATCACATTTTTTAATAAAAACTACAAAAATTATCATTAAAAGTACCAAAATTGAAAATGTCATCACAAAATGAATAAATCTGAGAGAGATCCAGCCAAAGTACACATATAACAATTATTAAAGCAATTGACTTTCAAGAAGAAATCCAAAAAGTCATTTTTACTTTAATTTTGTGAGAGAAAAATTGTTCATTAATTTAAAATATATATATCAAACATATGTAAAATTTCGATTGACTTTTGCAAAATTTTGTTCACATGACGTACGCCATTCAATCACCAAATTGCCTAATATTCCAAGCAGTTAAACTGTTTACAGTGAGAGAAGTCATATGTAATAATAAAAAAATTTCCCACTTCCCCAGCTGAGGGCGCGAGACACTGCCTTATTTTTTTGGTACCCACCTTCATACTCATCTTCATTGGCCAGCACTCTTTGCCATATAGAAGTCAATACATAGAGCAGAATACAACCATTAAGTAGAGTAGCAATACGCACAGGATAAGCCACAAGAAAAAAACCAAGAACATCAAAATATATCATGTCACCATGGCGATATTCTTCGGGATCTTCTAAATATGGGGAATTGGCAATGTGTTTAATCAGGGCTAAAATGTTGTCTCCTGGAATAAAATAAAATAAAATAGTAGAAAATTCAGTGATTTTCTTGTCCAACTGTTCAGCCACACTTCCCAATGAGAAGGCATACATCAAAATTAAGAGCAGCAGATTAACAGACTTGAGATTAACTTGAGATTATACTCATTTACATACTCATCATTGTATCTACAAAATTTGCATGATTTAAATCATGCGACTGAAAACATCTATAAATGATGCTTGAACATGTTAGGTATGGACGACCATTTGATTTCATCAGGGTGGCTGAAAGATTTGTTGAAAAAAAAAATTTCAAGCTAGATGATGAGAAAGAAAATAAAAAATTGCATGCAAGATGTTGCAGGAACAATTGTTGGCAAAAAACAAATTGCACTGGTCAAAATCTTTCAGCCAGCCTCCGCCCTATCCCTAATTTCAAATGTTTGACCCCTTAATTTATTTTTTGTTTAGTTTTGATCACAATTTATAAAGAGTACTACAACATTGACAATGATTTTTCAATATAGAATTTAAGGATATTCTGGAAATTTATTAAATTCCTATATTAATAGTGTTTCAGGGTCTTACCTGCAGCTTGTAGAGATCCAGGGTAAATTCGTTGGGGCTCATCATACTCTGTATGGTAGACATATCCATTAGTTACGTAAGCCATATCAATACCTAGGCGATAGAAACAATGAACACAGATAATGTAACAAAACTTATGCAACAATTAAAATGATAACAAATACTACTATGCTTTAAATATTTACTCATCTTTCAGGTTTAAAGTGTTAAAAAAATACAAATTGTATCAAAATAAAAACAAGATAATTGTCATACTCAACCTTTGAGGGCACCATATAACAGCAAATACAAGTCAATTTAATTTCCAATATTGATGAGTGTGCAGGTTTGCACTTTTATTTTAACTTATCATGAAAAATGCATGTAGTAATACTCTATTTTATTTTTTTTACAATTTGTAGTTAAATTTATGAAAAATTATTATTCAACATGGAAAATATTTTAAAAGAAGAAGATTGAATATGCACTGATAGTAAGTCTAGCACCCTCTAGCACTTCCTGCTTCAGGTAATACCAACCAATAGGAAATATACAATTATATAAGTAGTCACAAGCAGAGATTGCGTTAACACTTTTGTGTGACGAGTTCCAATGAAACATATTCTGTTTATAAAAGGGCTACTTTTTTTTACTTAAGTGGGGGGGGGGGGGTCCCTCTCTAAGATTGAAGTTCAAAAGCATTGTATGGGATTATCACATTTCCTGATCACAAGTCCAAGGTGAAATCACATAAAAGAAAATTATATATTTATCATATTCGTATGACACCAAAATCTTCCAAGGGTAGATAAATGACAGTAGGACTAGTTTGGAAGTATTTCACAAACTTTGGGTGAGAATGTTATGAGATTCAGAGGATGTTAATGGTGAAAATTGTTTAACAGACACTTGGGACTCTAAAACTTTTTTAAATAATATTGAATACCTGTTCCAACACATTTCATCATCAACAAATTCACTTTGATCGATATGAGAATTCATGACAAAATGCTAGAATCTGAATTTTATTTTACAATAACGGCATGTAACATACAATTAAAAGCAGGAACTTGTTACCTGGAACGTCTCCATAATCTCGGAAAATCCTGAAGTCAGTATCCGCAGGAATGACACCGCTCTGGAATAAATCTTGTGCAAAGGAGTTTGCTAAGGGATATTTTGCAGTGGCTGCATAGGCGTGCACTAACCATGGATGATGTGGACCTTAAATAAAACACTCCAATTATTATCAAGCACCATGTTTGTAGATCCACGATACAACAGAGAGTAAGATGTACAAGGTAATGTCAACATCTATATACTCCCTAACAAATTACTAACTTTCGACACACACTCAAGCAAATTAGAATGAGATATTTCAAAGATTTTGACTCAAAGATCAAAACAAGAATACATTTTGGTAACCAAAATCAAGATTTTCCATCTAACAAACAGTGAAATATTGGCACTAAACATGGGTGAGCAAATTTATGAATATTTGAATTATTGTATTAAATTCTGAATAATAAATCAATAAATATTATGTAAACCACTAATATTTAGAGATAATGGTGAATTTTATGATACTCAGCCATGATGTCTAAAAATTTATAAGGCTTACATTGGCCAATCAGCTTGCCAGGATTTTAATATATTTATATGTATTTTGAAAAATTCAGTAAATTATTAAACTTATTAAACTGTTTTATTACACTGAACTGCCATGATAAATATAGTCTTCCACACTGCTAAATAAATATTACTACTACTATGATAGTGATACCAGAATAGCATGAGTGACACTGACCGCATAATACAAAATAAATAATTTAAAAATAACATGACCTGCAACACAACTTACAAACTGTCCTACAACATTAGAGAATATATAAACTATTTTATTAAATATTTTCCCCATTCCCTCAACTGGAAATTACATGTCAATTAATTACACAATTGCTCAACTGTTGTAATTTTCAAGATCTTTCAAATAATGCATTTTTACCATAGAGTCAGTTGTTACAATATTTGCAAACAAATCCCAACCTGCATTTATGCACAACTAGCTAAGCCCTATTAGTTAATATTAGACTATATAATGTCAATCTATAACCTTTTGTAAGTTTTAGATAACCCTGAAACATGTTAAACATTAAGGAATTATAACGGTACAACTCACATAATTTAATATGCCGTACAAGCTTTGCACTTAAAATTTGATCTGTTAAATCCTAATCAAGTCTGAGTACAGATATAAAATTGTTGCCATGCTCAAGTTCTTTAAAATACAATTTCAGCAAAAGTTGACACAACCATGTAATTACTAGAGACAGATAATGCAAACACAAATTTTCCATCAGCTGAAACCTATTAAAAATCAGATTTTACCCTCATATGACCCCTTTCAGATTTCACAAAATAAACTTAAATAATTGTTTCCATATATATTCGGCAAATTTTTTGATCGTTATCATCTGTAGACAAAGAGATACTATGTTTAAAAAAATGATAAAAAAAAATCAGAATACATTAATATGTGCAAATGGTGCATCAACCATTTTAAAATTATGCCATTAAATAAGCTGCTGCAAGGTATCAATATATGTTAAAAATGCATGCACGGAGAAGTCCATCTTACCCTGGGTTGTAGCGATAAATTGTTAATGGAAATCACTGCTAATAACCGCCCACAGTACCACAAGTACTGTACTGTTTTTGCATGTCAGAGGACAATGAAATATTCCTTTACATATATTCTAATACTTGATGAATTAATTTGCTAATCCAAGGAGACTGGGGCAGATGAATGATATAACTACCAAGGATACAATACCTACAGATTGGACCAGTACAGCAAATTAAATTTGAATGTTTTTGTATTTAATACACAACATACAATTTTTTACTGTATTAAATGAATGCAGAAAATAACATAAATGGTTAAACATACTTTAAAAATTATCTGAGAAGTGAGCAAATTTAATAACAGAGCTAGATCATTAAAAATCATGACTTTTTTTATTTGCCAGTGAGCAATTTCCAAAATATTCAACCTCTGATCATGTATGTATGTATGTATATTATTTACTACACAAAAACAATCTGTGTTAATACTAAGAATTGTGGGAATGTTGTATCATATGTTAGTATAAACATTCTCTCATCAAAACCATGCAGTTTTGTGACTCAGTGGTTATGCAGTGTTTAAGGTCCTACTCTGCCATGAGTCAGACAGTAAACCTCTAATATAATTAATTGTAATTAAAAAGTATACTCGTAATATATTTGATATGTACATTGTACTACAAATACAGTAACTATTTTTTATATCAAATCTTGAAAAATGTTTATTTTTTTGAAGCACTTACCTGTTTGAAAAACTACCTCCCGTCCACCCGACCCAGCACTTTCAAAATTCAGAAATGCTTTGATATCTTTCCTCCATTGATGGTTAGTTATAAATCCATGGCTTGCATGCAAAATGTTTTCCTCTGCACCATTGAACAGGAATATGACGCTATGCTTGAGTGGCTCGTCTGATTCAACTAAGATTCGTAATATTTCCAGCAAGACAGCGCAGCTACCAGCATCATCGCTTGCGCCTGAAGTGAGAGAAGAGGGAAAGAATCTGGCAATCATGCAAAACATTTTTCTATTTTATTACTTGCAACGCCGTCTCAGTTTTGTGACAGTGAGTTGCAATTTTATATGATTCATGAATTTAACACAGTTACAAACACAACAATTCATTAAAAATGACACAGTCACAGTTGGAATTTTTTCAAAGTTATCTCTTATGAGCCCCCCAAAAAGGGTTGCTTGAATTTTTTTGATTTGTGAAAACATTTTCAAACAAATTACATATAATTTAGAGTTAGAGTTTAGAGTTTCCAGGGTGATTATAGTTTCTGATTATATACAATGACATGTTTTACCCATAATTCTTTGCATATATGTAAAATTTGAATTTAACTCAAACTATTTTAAGTCTTTAATTACTGTCACCGCCATATTGTTTGAAAAGCAAAACACATCAACTTTGCTAGCTGTAAGTTACTGACCAGTTTCCCATGCTCACCTGCAGGTCATTACGCAATTAGAACAAGCTCGGTGGGGGCTTGGATACATTGAATATAAATTGTAAATTACGATGCAATTGCCTTTCAATTTAATTTCATACAATCATGTAAATTTCAATACAATAAATGGCAATGTTATCCAAACAGTCTGAAATGTCAAATGCTGGTGTGTCAAGGGTGCATCATAATGCTCGTAAATGCGCACATTTGTGTGGACCCTCATAAAAATGGTTTGAACTGACCATTTCTAGTCAAGTAACGATCTTGAGACTTGAGATCTTGTTTTTAGATGCAAAAATTGATGATCATATTAACTCTTGGTTAATCTATGTACCGGTACTTGTACATGCTTTATAAGACCTTTGAGAGCTGTCTGTACTTCACCTACAAGTCTCTGGCTTGCAGGGGTAACCCTAGCAAATAATTACTGTAAAATTATTTTAGTAAATTATCATTATGGTTTTTTCCAAATAATTACATTAGTTTAATATTATTAAGGTTTTATAAGCGAGTATGAAATTTCATCAATGATGGTGATATGCAAATAAGATCTCATAGGATCACAAGTTTCAATGACAATGAAGTCGTATTAATAAGGACATCAAGATCAAAGTGTGCTAGATTATTGCCTATACAAAATAACACCCACACACTTTGGGAATAAGCACAAGCAAAAACACTTTTTTTTTCACAATCACTCATTTAAATCACTATTTTTCTATTTTTAGAAATCATCTCATTTCTAGATGATCGATCATCTCATGATTTGCGAAACTTCCCTTCAATTTTTTTGAGTTCCTTTACTGCATGTCGCACCATTTGCAACCTATACATACTTGATTACTAGTACATTTTACCTGGGCTATCAGGTACCGAATCAAAGTGGCAATTCACTAGAAGACTTGGGCGTGTTTTCTTGTTTTTTTTTCCTGGTGACATCGCAGTCTCTCCGGGCCCTACACGTGCGATGATATTGGTGACATTACGGTAATAATTACTGAAGTCCTTGATTAGATGAAGCGAGAATGAACCCTCTGGCCTTTGTACGTCCTTCTCATATTTTTTCTGTGGGTGTGGTTTAATTTTATTCAGTTCTTTCAAGATATACCTGAAGGCCATTTCTTCGTTTTCAACACTACCGGTAGTTCTCGGCCCAAAGCTGGTTAATATATCTAGATGTTTCCTGGCACGATGTTCGTAAAATTCCCCCACCGCATCGGGCGATCTTATTGAGTCCGAGTCGACAGTCGACACGACGCGCGGTTCGGGCAACCAACTATATGACCAGACAACTGCGGCTAGATTGCCACCGAACATCACCAAGACGACCAGTAGATACACCTCAGGCAACGAGCTACGGTATCTTTTGACTACATGCTTGACTGTCGCCGCATCTTTCCGTCCACCATTACGTTCTCCTCTCTTCCGACGTTGATTTGTATCAGCCATGCTTTCGCCAACCAAACGAGGCTAATCAAGCATGCACAGGGAAACCCAGGTATGCGCAAGTGTGCCGAAGCCGGGATATCCCAAAGGCTTGTACATTGCACAAATGTATACACCTAAGTACTCGTTACTTTTAATTACTATTACAAGAGATTTTAAGAATATCAAAATATTGAATAATCTTATTATTGTTAATGAGAGGGTAATTGTAAACATCAATGTACTATGATACATATAGTAAAGGCATTTAATAAACGTTTTGTTCGAGGAGCAATTACGATTCTTCGCGAGAAACCACGAGACTTCGTTTCTGTCATGCGCACTTGATAACATATTTTCATTTTGCGGAAACTTCGAAACTGAGCTTGTTTGTGGGGCTCAACATTCCCTGTCTTCGTGTATTGGAAGGTCATACTTTATTAGTCTGTGGTCATATTGAGTCTGATAACCATGTTCGATGTTGCCCTAACTGATGCTGGTGCCAAAGTTGTATTGGCTACTGCGAGTGATGAAAAACATCCGCCGGAACACATGATAGACGGGTATGTTTGTGATTATTATTATTACTCAAACGCTGTCCAGTTGCTTATTCGAAAAATTAGGGATGGGATAACGGTATGCTGTATGTACGGCCAGCTGCCGAGGATGTGATGAGCGTAGCTTTTTCTACGTACCGGTACATCATTTCCTTGTAAGGTAAATAGAGGCTGGAAGATTTGGAAAAAAACTGCGCTGTGAGCGAAGAAAAAACAAAAAACAGGATTTTCCATGATAACTGCATTAATATTAAAAAAAAGATATGAGTAAAAAAAAAATTGGCGTTATGCATACATGTGGTTGTGAATATAATATTAATAAGGTAATTCAATAAGATTTTGTTGAATATGCAATATGTATCAAATTTGATATTGCGAGATAAAACTTATTTCTGACTATTAATCCCAGACCCATTTTCTGTCAGGAAACACAATGTTTAGAAATAAGTGCATGAGGACATCATTCTAGTCAAATAGCAAAACATGTAATACACACAATCAGCTGGTGCACGCGTGATATTAAAATAAATACAATATTTACTATATGGGGGGGGGGGCGCCATCTTGAATGCAGCATAAAACTAAATAAGAGACAAGTTGTGAAACGCGTTTTTCAGATTCCTACACATGTGGACAAAGGTGACAATCTTTCACAAAAATACGATCCGTTGGGGTTATATTAAGCCAACCGATAACAAAATTCAGCCGAATTCGGCATTTTTGTGTGGAAAAATCCCTTGCATACGAACACCTAATTACACCAAGAACCTAAAACACTTTCCGTGGATTTCCTTGGATATTTGAAACCAAAAATTGTCATGCCAGCTCAGTAGCCAATCAGCGACGGGCTCACGGTTAGATGACAATTTTGTTTTCAAATACCCCGGGAAAGTGTTCTATGTTCTTAGTGTAATTAGGTGTTCGTATTTGAGGGATTTTTCCACACAAAAATGCTGAATTTGGTCGAATTTTGTTATCGGTTGGCTTAATTAATATTACCTCCAACGGATCGTATTTTTGTGAAAGATTGGAATTTTTGTCCTGATTTGTAGGAATCTGAAAAACGCGTTTCACAACTTGTCTCTTATTCAGTTTCATGGTGTACTCAAGATATAGTAAATATCTTATTTATTTTATTATCATGTGTGTGCACCAGCTGACTGTGGTAATACACTATTTACAAATAGAAACTAGAAATAGATAATTTTAGAATAATTACGCAGTTGTTGTTTCACAGACTTCTAGTGTGTACCGCAATAGAACATGATTCTGAAAATGTTTCTCTACTCCTGGACTAGTAATTAAGTTTCATACTGTTTTCATTAGTCAGAATCCAACTGATATTCAGTCATAATTCTGTAGTCTTGAGATAATTGTAGGTCAGGCTGTCCAACTACTGTACATGTAGTGTACATGTAGTGTACATGTAGTGGACATGTAGTGGACATGTAGTGGACATGTAGTCCACCATTCAATGTATATAAATAAATATACATGTATATTTCTGTGATTTTGATTATCAGGAGTGAAGAGACTTTCTGGTCAAGTACTGGACTATTTCCACAAGAATTTGTCATTAGTTTTTCTGGTCTTATGAATATTAATGCAGTAAATCTTAAGACATATCAAAGTAAGTATAAGGTGAAAATAAAGAATTCATTGATAATCTATTTTTCACTCAAGTCTGGGTAAGAATACTAGTACTTTAGGGCCCAATAGCTCACAATTCTAAGGGTGAAAGATGTTAACATCTTATTTCTCACAGTGTTTGTCAACAACTGCTTCTGGACACACTCAGCACAACTAGCCTACAAATTATGAAATGTTCTATCTTTAAGTTTGCTTAGACACACAGTGGTAATGATTATACACATTTTTGAAAGAAAAGGTTAAAGCACAGTTATTGAAAAATGTCTGTGCATCGCAAACTGCCTAATGGGAAATGCATCACATCAAATTTTGATTCAATACAGCGGGCACAAGTTATTTACATACACCTAACTTCCGCACCTGGTAGGCAATTACCAAGGACCTTTGCAACATCCCCAGACACTTTCCTAGATGATCCAGTGATCATTGTAGACGTAATAAACTTGTATACCCGCCTACGTGACAGGTTAATCAAAACAACGGACCAAGGTTTTAGATGGATTCAACTCAACTATTACAACTTGTAAGCGTCAAGTTGAAAATTTATCAAACAATCATGTTTCAATCATACTTGATATTAATTATTTCATGCATTCATATGCTTGTTCATTTAGTAAATTGTATTTTGAACATTTCGGGAAAATAATAAACCTTGTTGATACAATTATTTAAAATGCCACCAACATGTATTGAAATTACCAAAATAACCCTTGTAAGAACAATTTAGTTTTGAATATAGTTTCTGATTTGAACTCATCGTTGACTATACAATTATTGCTATTATGTCAAAGTGTGTAGACAAAGACACTCAGATGGAGATTATTCGCCTTTTGCGAATAATCGCAGAGAAAGTTGGACTAGCGAGGGCAACGGTCCAAGAGATTGTATGGCATTTCTGTCTCATCGGTTAGACATTCCAACTAGCATCTGTTGTTGACTGAAGTCTGAACAAGAAATCGTTGAATTTATTAAATTTCACTCGTATCTGAAAGATATTTGAAACTGCTTTATGGTGATGATGTGGAGGTGAAACTAAGTAGAAAATTCCAGGGAAAGATTGACTGGGTGATGAGTGTTCTGGCAAACCGACAATGGGACATCCCATTATACAAGAAATTGAATGCAACACTCACAATGCTAATATTATTAACATAATCCATTGACAGTACCTCAACAAACTACATATTCGATTTCTTCCAAGTGTTATGCAGCAATGATTTTTGTACTTAAAAAGCAATGGAATAGTCCAACTACCTCTTGTCCCTCGCGCAGCAATGATTTTTGTACTTAAAAAGCAATGGAATAGTCCAACTACCCTTTGTCCCTCGCGACCACACATCAGAGGCATACCATGTCTGGGGTTTTGATTAACTGTCACGTGGGCCGGTATGTAACTTTATTGAGTCTATAACTATCACGTGGGCCGGTATGTAACTTTATTGAGTCTATAACTGTCACGTGGGCCGGTATGTAACTTTATTGAGTCTATAACTGTCACGTGGGCCGGTATGTAACTTTATTGAGTCTATAACTCTTACGTGGGCCGGTATGTAACTTTATTGAGTCTATAACTGTCATGTGGGCCGGTATGTAACTTTATTGAGTCTATAACTGTCACGTGGGCCGGTATGTAACTTTATTGAGTCTATAACTATCACGTGGGCCGGTATGTAACTTTATTGAGTCTATAACTGTCACGTGGGCCGGTATGTAACTTTATTGAGTCTATAACTCTTACGTGGGCCGGTATGTAACTTTATTGAGTCTATAACTGTCATGTGGGCCGGTATGTAACTTTATTGAGTCTATAACTGTCACGTGGGCCGGTATGTAACTTTATTGAATCTATAACTGTCACGTGGGCCGGTATGTAACTTTATTGAGTCTATAACTGTCACGTGGGCCGGTATGTAACTTTATTGAGTCTATAACTGTCACGTGGGCCGGTATGTAACTTTATTGAGTCTATAACTGTCACGTGGGCCGGTATGTAACTTTATTGAGTCTATAACTGTCACGTGGGCCGGTATGCAACTTTATTGCGTCTATAACTGTCACTTGAGTGTCTCGGAAAGTGCCTGGGGATGTTGCGAAGTCCCTCGGTAATTGCCGACCAGGTTATGGGAGTTAGGTGTATGAAAATATCTTGCACCCACTATAAGAAGGCTTCATTTGAATCATCAGTCATAAAATCCTACGTGCAATTGGACTTTTGGTTTTGCCCACCAGGCATTGTTAAATTAGCATAATGCTCAGTAAAAGTCAGGGGTCTACAACACAGTGCAATAACAATAATCTCCTATATTATACCAATATGAAGACTATTGATTGATTGATTGTCATATCACAAACACCAGTGACTTTCAAGGTGTTTATATAGGAACCTTGCACAATTTACTGAAATTTCTTTGGGGATTTTGGCAAAAAAAATACATTTCATATTTTACAAACATTTTATAAGATTTCAGGACCGGGATGCCTACAATACCAAAACAACATGTTTAATACATAACTGAAGTTAAAACACTAAATTAATTGCATAAAATGACCTTCAAGTTTGACACTATGAGAACTAGAGAACCCAAAGTAGCACGCATTTGAAATCAAAATTTGATTATCATATGTGAAAATTGCAAAAAATGCAATAACTCTTATACCTTTTTTCCTTAATTACAGTACATAAAATGAGTATAGAGCGAAGTGTACAAGCTGAACCTATAGATTTTGAAATTCTGGAAGAAAAAGAATTTACAGTAACAGACATGGCTTTACAAGTAGAAGATTTCACTGTAAGTTTATTCTGCAATGTTTCACTCTTTATGTGTAGGATACACATTAGCGGACTGTGCGAATTTAGGATTCTGACTGAGAATTAGCCTGCCAGTGAGATTGATTTTATTTCAACTAATTGACAAGTTCTTTAAATCATAATGACCAATCAGCTCGTTTCTCTTTTCAGCAATCATGTACATATCCATTGTAACCAGTCATGTACGAGGCCAATATTTACTTTGAGTATTTTTAGGTAGGAGAGGAAACGTCTCATCAGCTGTACCAGTATGATCAATAAAGTTATCTGTTGCAGCTCATACATGTATGCGGTGTCACTCTTCCATTCCTGAACTTGAACCTACTCTTTTTAAAAATTCCCACAGACTGCAGTTTGGAAGCATGCAAACTACTGTATGTATGTTTGTCTCCTGACTGTAATGTACAAGATGTGCGATGAAAATGATAACATTATCACAACTAAAATGATGCTAGTTCTAATGTAATTGTTGCTTTGTATATTTGTATATATTTTTATAGCTTTTTTTCTGTATTGTATTTTAATGTAATATTTTAACTGGCTCCTTGTAAAACAGCATTTAGCTGACAGGATTCCTAATAAACTTTGAACTTTGCTTATTAGTACAGTGCAAAAGTGTACTTTATACAGAGTACATGTTCCTTTATTTCTAATCACATAATTATTATGAATATTTATATATTGTAGTTTGATGAGGCCACCGCTGCAACCCATCTGAGGTTTGTCGTCAAGTCGGGATATGATCATTTTATATCTGTCCATCAAGTTAGTGTAGATGGAACTGCTGCAAGACAGTGACGTCAATACAGGATTTGTTTAATTATGTCCCATCTCTTGGATCTGTGATGTGGTAAAAACAACTTTTGTAAGAGAACATATTTCTTGTCAGTGATCATGTCAGATTTGCGTTTTTACATGTGTATAAGAATTGTGTATATAAATTATTGAAAATAGCATTTGCAAGAATTTGAATATATTCTTTGTTGGTTTAGATAAATTAGAAGTGTTTTCTAAATACCAATGTTCTTTAGGCTATATTATATTTTCTCAAGAATGATTGGTTATTTGTACATATTGTATTCTTTACAAACAATTGTCCATTACGAAGATAGATCTCCAAAAATAGAAGACCAAATATAATTATTTGTTTCTGGTACCATTGAAAGTAGAACTTGTTAATCACTTCTTTTGATACTAATGTTGGTCAATACTGCTATATAATGGATTATATTCAAATGCAATTTTCACATTTCATGACAGTTTACATTGGGTTTGTAGAATTCTGTAAGGAGACCATCGTGTAATGCCAATTGCAGAGATTCATTTGTCAAACTATTAGCTTAAGATATTTTGTCCTAAATGTCTATGAACATCATGGAAAGTTTCTAATTATACCATATTTTGGGTGTAAAACAATACATTTAACAGAAAACACATACTATACATGTTGTAGGCCCTTTGTCTAAAATGATTTAAACAAATTTAGTATATTTTGAAATACCAACAAATGGTTTAGGGAGCAATCTCTGCTATAAATGTTGGGCTGGACATGCAAGATGAATGGCTGTTAGCAGCAGGTTTCCAACTAATACATGTTGAACTATTCAATTTGTAATCAGGTACTGCCAATGCAGATTCATTTGTTGCCATTTTTCGAAATTTTGTCCTTGACATTGAGCATCCTTAGAAATACAAGCCATGATGTTGGACATTTTTGTCAGACAGTATAGCTGTATTCTTGATTTAGCTTCATAGGAAATACTTGCAATGAAATCTTGTTGTAACGAATCAATCAGCTAGTCATACTATAATAAAACACTGTTTTCTCCAAGAAATTACTTATTGGAAGCTTTTTGTTTCATTTCTTGAATCTGTATCATATTGTATATTACTATTACCATATATGGTATTGAGACTGATTGTGTCCAGTATTGTTTTTGTTAAATATGTTTAAATTGGACTGTCTATATTTCAGTATTCATGAACATTTTGTGTATTGTACAACAATTGTCTTTTGTATATATGTTTTAATATTAAAACATGATTCAAATCTGTACTGTAGTTTCTTGCACAGAGTTTCTACCAGCTTTAGTGTTTCAGTTGAGTCAAAGTATGTATATATACAACACAGAGTTCCTATCAGCTTTAGTGTTTCAGTTGAGTCAAAGCATGTATATATACAACACAGAGTTCCTATCAGCTTTAGTGTTTCAGTTGAGTCAAAGCATGTATATATACAACACAGAGTTCCTATCAGCTTTAGTGTTTCAGTTGAGTCAAAGCATGTATATATACAACACAGTTCCTATCAGCTTTAGTGTTTCAGTTGAGTCAAAGCATGTATATATACAACACAGAGTTCCTATCAGCTTTAGTGTTTCAGTTGAGTCAAAGCATGTATATATACAACACAG